CCACATTATGAACAATGTGTTTTACAGCCTCATACTCCTCCGGATATTCTTCTAAAATTGCGTCCACTTCCCTCCTTACAGTCCTGAAAACTTTGGTGGCCTTGATTTCTTCAAGCGCATCAAACACTACTTCGGGTACTTCTCCAGTTTCTGCCATTCGTGCTGCCGTCATCACAACTGAGGAAAAATAGGTCATTCCAAATACATGATGACTATCTGTAAACATTGTTTTCCTTATATCCTCATATCTATGATGCAACGCCATATGATTCTCTAGAAATGTGTTATAGTTAGATTATACTAAAAACATAAAGATTAATTTCTTTAACCATGGGAACTTGCAGTGACTCAGCCATAACAGCAAAGTGACATTCAACTTACCTTCCATTACGATTTCAGAAATGCTTCCTAATTCCGCCTGGAATCTCTCTATCGTCTGGATAAGGCTTACGGAGAGATGGTGCTGCAGATGAATTATCTCCGCCCACACACCCAAGTACACCCGTGATATGAAGGACACCACAGGACTTCCCAGGATATCACCAAGGATTTCGGTATCAAAAATTCTTGCCTCAGAGACAATATCTCGATAGATCTCTCCAATTTCCTCCTTAGCAACTCCCAGTAGGTTGACTAACTGAGATGAAGGGAACTGAATACCCTTTGCAGCAGCTTCTTCCTTGAGGAACTCGACAACCTCCATTACAACAGACGTGAATGATGCGGCAATCTTCTCAAATTCTTCAGTCATTTCGTTCTGCAGATAAGACAGCATTTTACTCCAGATCCTTAAGCTTTTATCACTAACATTTTTACACAATATTCTTCAGACAGATCATTATGTAATTTAAAAAACATTTTACTCTAAATTCTTAAGCTTTCATAAACAACATTTTGAGATGCACAAACTAGTAGTACCAACTTACGATTATTGCCTCTGCTTCTTGCGGTTCATAAGCCATCTCGACCTTAAGCATTGTAGGTGAAGCCAACTTCACAGCAGCAACAGCAACACCGTGAGTCTCTCCAGCTCTGCCGCTAGCCACATATACACCTGCTTCAGCAGCGTCAGGGTATCGGAGGCCAAGCTTGGCAATGTATTCCTTTGCTCCACCAGGCCGCATTGCGGTCACCTCAATGAAGGCAGGCCTGCACATCTTGGAGATAACGTTGTACTTTCCAAAAGTTGCGGCATAAGCAACAGCCCTCATTCTGATGCCATTGCAGGTGGCTGCTTCCTCGGGTTCTGTCACTGCAGTGATTTCAAACACAGGTCGCTCTTCCATCTTCACTGTGAATGTGGCAGCTGCGTTGTGAGCTGCAGTCTTGTCATACTTGGCAGCAATGGCAAAGATTGGTGCTGCAGATGGAGTCTTGTGCAACACTACATCAAAAGCAACTGTCTCTGGTGCATAAGCAGCAGTGATGATTGCTTTAGGGTTCACTTTCAACATCTGTAAAAAAAAAAAAAAAAAAACATTTGTTGAACATATACTAATAGTTATTTAATATATATGCCATTCTAGACCATAGATTTACTAATATTTACGATCCTAATTCATATAAAAAGACTCAAATGTCAATTCAAATGGTTTTACACTTACCCTGCCAGTCAAGAAGGCTTCTGCTCTGATAGCATTTTCGGAAATTCTCTGAGTTTCCAATGTACCAGTAATTTTGTTGGCTTCTTCTGGGAAAATGTCCAGTTCAATTGTTCCCTTCGTGGTTCCTTCAGCTACTGTGTACTGAACAGCGGCCATGATGGGCTTAGGAAGCACTGGATGGTTCATTCTGACTTCCAACTTGGACGCATGTCCTCCCCACCTTCCCTCGTGGTTGGCCTTGTATCCAATTTCGTATTTGGACTCAGTTTTGCCCTTATTGGGGTAGAACTTGATTCCAGATTCCCTTGGTGACAGTTTGGCTCTTCCTTCCATGGTGCGGCTTGGAGTCCTCATCTGCATGGTGTAAGAGGTGGCTGATGGCCTTGTGAAACGGTACTGGTATTGGGATGTGTGTGGACCATAAGTTTCGTAACTTTCTTCCTCGAGAGTAGCAACGGCATGAACAATCTTCAGAACTTCAGTGATGGCTTTCATGTCCACACCAGCTTCAACAGCCTGAATTCCTCCTTCAGGAGTGGTCTGCACATTCCATTCAAACACAGTGGCTGGAGCATTTCTTTCGATCTTGCAGAATCCAACATATGCGTTTGGTGCATTGTGAATGGAGAATTCAATTGTGGCAGGTGTCTTCAGAATTGGAGCATCAGCTTCTACCTGTAAACGGAAACATAATTTCATGAACATTTTGCTGAATATGATAAAACTAGTCTAATTTGCATGAATTCCGACATTTCAAGAGAAAATATCACTTATCCCAAATTAATACGGCATACCTTGACTGCCACAACATGTTCTTCTGGTGTCCAGTGATGTTTTACTGCTGTTCCGAGCTTTATTTCTGCTGTTCCAGGTTGTTTGTAAGTTACCTTGGCTTCTACTGCATAATCAAATGGGCCACCAAGCTTCTCAAAGGCAATCACACTTGCATATTTGTATTTCCTATCCTTCATGTTCTTGTATTCAACGTTGGAAATGACTTTAGTCGTGGCTCCTGCCTGTTGGACATCACAGGAGGCTCCCAAGACAACCGTCTTCTGGCTAGGCGTTGTCAGGATCAACTTGAATCCATTTTCCCCTTCCATGTGCTCTACCAGATTTGCGGCAGTCAGAACCAGTTTGGCGTGGTAAGGCTCTCCAGCAATGGCAATATTCCCGCTGTGAAGAACAGTGTGATCAGAAAAAGAAAACCTCAGAAATGTTCATGTCTTTTGCTCATTTGTTAAGTATGTGTCTTTGAGTTTAACTTCGCTTCATGTGTGCACGTATTACTAAAATAAATACCCAATATAAATCCCATAACAAGTCGAGACCCAAAGATAAGGCTGATGATTTATACAAAAATGGTAAAGAAAATCATGAATATGGAAACTTACTGGATCTCAGCATGTCCAGGATTGGCAGGACTGCTGATCAGACTTGCATCCAACACCAACTTCTTTTCAGGAGCATTATCGGCGTCCCAAGAAAATTCCACATTTGTCTTTTTCTCTGCAATATGAACATCAGCGAATCCCTTGACCCGACGGCGGGATGAGGTCTTGGGCAGAACCAGGTTGTTGAAACTAACATGGATAAGTCCATCAGTAATTTCAGCGTCGACCTTGTTCTCGATAAGGGCAGGGAGCACGAACACTATGCCAACAGTGGTTTTCTCGGAACTTTCTCGGACCATTTTCCATTCAAGACCAATGAGAGCTTCTGATCGACCTTTGATTTCCATGGCTATCATCTGCTTCTTGCTGCCAAACGCAATGTTGGCACCAAAGATGTAGGGTTCACTTGCCATTGCCCTGAGTTTGATGTTGGCTTGCAGCTTGGCAATCTTGGAGCTGAAACGAGCCATGATTGGTCCGCTAGCTTCAAGTACTGTATGATGTCCATATGTGATGGCGGATTCCAGTGTATAGCGACCTTCTGCTTCTTGTTCAATCCCGGCTTCAACTTTAACTGGCTGAATGTAGCCAGGAATCTCCGCCTAAAACAAAAATGATCATTTAATTTCAAAGTATGCTTTTCAGATTTTTTTTTTTTTTTCAAAAGAGGAGACTGGTAAATATGCACAATAAAATTAACCCTTAAACATACGACCTGTAATCTTACCAAGAATTTAGTGCAGTACTTCGATCCCGAAATTTCGTAAATTGCTTCCAGATGGGCAACCTTCTCATTACCAGCTGCTTGCAAAACCTCAAGAGAAGCCCCCATTTTTTCAGAGTGATAGAACAGATCATACATTGCCTTGTAAGATGATCTGCCAACTTCGGCTGTGGAAGGATAAAGGTAAAATGAATATCAAATATAGGTGTACTTTTGTTCAGTGGCAGAGATGAGAGAATTAGAATGGCAATTTACCTGTTGCTACATTTTTGATGATGATGTTTTGTGGGAATCTTCCTTCTATCGTATGAGTAGCCTGTACAGAGATGAAATCCTTCCTTCCTTTGGCAAGCTTGAGAGCAGAAATGAACTCGCGGCCTTCGCCAGATTGACTTCCTGCGCGAATATACGATATCAGTTTCCAGGCTGCAGTGGCGGCATTGATTTCCATCTTTCGCAGGTTTACGGGTAGGACAATGCGGGTCTTGGGGATGTATCTTGCAGGATACAGATCCTTAGGAGAAAATTTCATGAAATCAGCTCCAACTGCAAAAGAAGAAAAGTATATAAGTATATAACCTACAGACATGCACCCACAGCAATGAAAATATATGCAAAATTAAACCATCATAAGTGAACACGTACTTTCATCAACGCATACATACCTTCAATATTTAAGTCGAATAACTCAGCTAAAGTATTTTTGGTTCTGCAAATCACATCCACATTGAATTCAGGTCCACTAGTTTTCTTAATGAATTTAGCCTCCACAATGTGTGATTCAGAGGGGAAGCTCCTGCTGCCGCTGCTGAACACATTAACTAGAAACTCCTCTCCCACACTTGCTTCCCTTGCAATCGCTTCCAGCCTTAATGCCTCGAGAAATAGCAATCTGACCAGTAATTGAAGTTGACATAAGTCTCTATTGCCTTGTGTGCTTGCTCGTTGGTAAGAGTGGTCCACACTCCTGCAGCAATGCTGGAGGAATCCAGTTTGGCAGAAACAATGTGGCTTCCTTCTTCCTTGGTGTAGGACAGGGTCATTTCTGCTCTTCTTGGTGTCGAGGCACCAGCTGCTTCGACATTCATCTTAATGACCTTGTTACCTCTCTTGTTCTTGATAGCAGCAGTCACTAAGTAACCTCTCATGGAAGGATCTGCCTTCTCAACATACAGCTTGGCAATGGCTGGTTCACCAAGTGGCAGGGCATTAGCACGGAAGACGTCAGGGATGTTCATGTCATAGCACACCTTGAGGCCAAATACTGGTTCCAAAGCACCAATGCAGGAGTTGTGCTGAATCCTGACATCTCTCATGGAGGAAGGAGAAATCTTGGTCATCTTCTTGCCAACAGCTTTGACAAGGTAAGTCTCGGCCTTGATGTTGAGGAGTTCCATCTTCTCAGGGACCTCCAATTCCATCTCGATCTTCTTGTTTTCAGTTGTTCTGATCTTGATGGCAGCTCCAGTGGCACTGGAGATGGTGTTCTGCATCTCGATTCCCACCTTTGTAAAGCGGCATTCATAGCCAACAAAACCAGTGGCTTGTACAGAAAGGCCTGGGAAGAATTTAACGCCCGTCTGGGAGTTACCGAGGTCGGACAGGATCTGGGCAATGTTGACGTTGCCTTCCATCTTCAGGCCAGCAACAGCGGTTCCAGCTAATTTCAGTCTGAGCGGTGTTCCCTGAATGGTCGGCAGTGAATAATCCACGGAAAGCTGAGCAGTTCTTGCTGTGTTCAGGTTGAGATCCTTCATATGCTCCAAAGAATTCTCGAAGAAAGAGAAGAAGGTCTCAATGAGTGTGTCAGCTGTGACGCCTTTGAGGCTTTCGGCAACATCTGCGTAAGTAATCTCGTGTCCCATGAATCGGGCGAATAGCTCGGCAGTGGGTATGTGATCTGCTCTCACCATACAGTTTGCCAAAGAAGTCCGCGATGACCGAAGAATCGATGGATCGCCTGGTCCTCAGCGTGTGCTTGATGTGCTCCATGACCTTGAGGCCTTTCTCTCCTGCAAAACCTGTGATGTCGTCCATAATCTTTCCAAATGTTGCTCTGCGTAGATATCCCTGTGGGCCCAAGAGTTCTTCAATGATGGAATCAATTCCTACAAAGCGCGCACCAATCTCTGCGATGTCCATGTGCGTCTCATCCACATCTGCTTTCATTTTCAAGTTAACAGCACGAGGAACGAAAGATCCGGGAGCATAGATGATGTTCGATTCGAGGCCGGCACCCATGCCAAAGGCAGGGGCATGGTAAGCCACATCTATATTTCTAGAGAATTTCCTGAAGTCCCTCTCGAAGTCGGTAGGGATGACGACATTGGCAAGGAGGTACCTGAGATTTTCCTTGGCAGGGCAGGTAGACTCTTGGATGTTGATCAGGTGACCCAGAACAAATCCACGCACTGAAATGAACCAATATCATATGAGCATTCACCATCATCTTGAGATGAATAATATGCTATCATTATAACAATGATCTCATAATAGTTAAGGTTATTAGCAACATCTTTATTGTCTTTAATAATGATTATGGAGGTCAAATAATAACAAGAAAAACAATTTGTAAACTACTACATAGATAAAAGAATACAATACTGTTAAGGCATTGATATTAGATTTGTAGTGGATTTATAAGAGTAGTTAAGGTCTGAAAATTGACATACCTTGGGTATTCTCTTCCTTTGAAATCTTTTCAATAATTGTTTCCAGGTGTTCCTGCTCAGCACATCGAACAGCAGCCAGATAGGAAGCGATGCGGACTTCAGTCTCAAAGGCTGGTCGGACGGCAATGTCAACTAGCTTCTCAACTGCCTGTAATGATTGAAATATACTATACTCACACATACACAGTATGTTATTCGATCATCATATAATATTAGACCAAAATCATAGTGTCTCATACTGTGTTCTCTTATTAACTACTTACTGGACGGAAGCAGTTGGCTAGTCTGAAGGCTTGAGCTGCAGCTACCCGAACGCTGGTTTCCAGTCCTTCTTCCTCAATGCAGTGAACGGCTGCCCTTGTCACGGCAGGTGTAGCTACACCCATATTGCCTATTGCCTTGAAAATTGCAAGGGCTACTTCATTGTCCTCGACACCAGCAGAAGGAGAGCAGTGAGTCTGGACTCTGTTGGCCAGAATCTCGGCAATTCTCACAACTGGAGCTTTCTCATAGCAAGTTGGATTATGGCGGCAGTAATGGTGTACCATGGAAGCAGCTGCCAGCAGTAACGAGGGTATTGGGCGAGGGCTTTCAAACAGCGGCGTAAGGGCCTTGACTGCCTCAATGTTGGGTCGTGGGATGAGGTAGAGCGCTGCCGTGTACAGAGCGAGACGTCCCCCTGTTGCTCGTCCATTCTCGATTTCGTGGACCATGACCTTTACTGCACCAGACTCGTGGAGGAAAGCAACTGCGTCCAAGAAGATGCTCTCCAGCCTGGCAGAGTCACTGCAGTAATGTCCTTGTCTCACTTTCTGTGCAGTCTCCACCACAACCGTGTCAGGAACATGACGTAACACATGGAGAGCCTTGGCAACCAAAGCACCAGCTTCAGCCTCAACTGTGTCCTTGGTCTTGTCACAGATCTCCTTCATGAGTTCATCCAGCTCAGGTGCCAGCTTTGGGTCCTTCATTGTTTCATGGCAGTACAACAGGTTTTCAATGCGCAGTTCTCCTGAAGGGATGCCGCTGATGGCTGAAGTGTCGGAGGACTCGGAGATGAAGCGAAGTGTTGAATACTGACTGGCCTCCACATACTTGTAGATTCC